AGTACCGTATGATAATTGCGGTTGCGTACGAAATGAGCTCTATAATTGGATCATATTATTCGTTTGATACCACCTGTGCGGCTAGCTCTCTAGCGTCTACATAGTCTCCCTCGAGAATAAAGACAAATTACATCGTAATTATACGCTCTTAAAACATAGTACGTTATCCATATTTTTTCTCTTCCTTTTCTCAAGCAGACCTTTTCATTCGATAGACAACATCAAGTAATTAATCTCGTTTTCCAAAATCCAACTTTTTTTTCCCTTTCGATATCTCTCCTTTCTTAACATTGCACTGAAAAAAAATATAGTCAGTTTTAATAAATATTTAGTTGAATACTGCCAACTAAATATTTATTAAAACTGACTGTATTTTTTTTCAGTGCAATGTTAAGAAAGGAGAGGTATCAAAAGAAAAAAAAGAGTTAATTTATTAATAAAAAAATATAGTTAATTTTAATAAATATTTAGTTCAATACTGCCAACTAAATATTTATTAAATATAAAGATATATTTATTTGATTTACGAGAAATGTTAATTTGATTTAACAATCTTTTTTTTTATTAAACAAATATTTTACTTACTATAAGTGAATGTTTAGTTGGCAGTATTGAACTAAATATTTATTAAAATTAACTATATTTTTTTCTCAGTGTGACAATCTGATTTGTATACATTTTGATGTACGTGATCGACACTATACGACGATAGAAGTTACTCAATAGTTTAACGTATTTCTATGTGATCTAAAGATTCTAAAGAAAACCCTCTAGACAGAAATTCGTTATGATACATTTTACAACAACTGACAGAGTGACGAATAATATATTTTGGGTTATATTAAATAATTTTCTGTTAATTGCACCAGACTAGAACTCTTTCTCAAATATCAAACATATATCTATATATATTTCATTTCAAATTCCAAAAGTGTACACTAGTTCAGCCACAGAAGACAGACTTAGTATAAGATATAAGGTGGTATAATTATCTCTCTTTTTTCATCTTTCAATTTTTATAATCTAATAATAGTTAAAAAATAACAAACTGAGCAATAATTGTATTATTCGCCTTTCTCCAAGCAAGAGCTCATAAACGCTCGTACATGATTCTACATTATTTTAGAATCCTGTAATAAGAACTTGGATATGAGAAAGTCACTTTTGATTGATTCATTTTAACAATTTCTGAGAGAAAAAGAGAAAGAGAGAAATAGATAAAAGAAAATATAGAACATAATGAGAAAAAGAAAGAAATAGTAAATGTATGCCCTTCTCTCTCGCGTGATTTGTTAAAACTACCCTGTATAGATATACAAAACTACGGCTTGTATTCAGATTCTTATTACAGAGTCTCTACATTAGCCTAAGACGCACACAGCCTATAAAAAAAAAAACAGGATTGCATCTCTCACACTCGTTGATCTGACAACGTACATCTATTACACAATAGCGTGCGATATCGTAACTATAGAGGGTGCTGTTCCGATGCCGGTCTTCCTCTCGTTATTCAAAAGTCCGCCCTATCGCCGCCTATTGTGAGCCGACAATAATTACAAGAGGCGCATTGTTTCGAAAACGCGATTGTCCTTGCACTCTTTTACCCAACCCTCCTATTCCTCGGGAAGAATCGAACAAACGAAATGCATCAGATAGCGAGCGTGTGGTTGCCCTTCGTCCTTGTACCCTTGTGAGGGAGAAATGCAGAGCGCATTTTCTCAATTCAGCCGGGGCGAAGAAATATACGGGCGGCCGTGAAAAAGCGCCGAGGGACGGCTTA